CCTAGTCCAGCTACCAAGGCGGAGGGCTCCGGACAAGGTCTCTTAGCCGAGGTCCATTTGATGCCCCCAACAAGTTACGAAAATGGAACCGCGCCGCTCATCCTCCAACTTTGTCGGAAAATGTTCCTGGCCTCAAACGTTTGGAATGAATCCGTCATCGAGCCGCTGTCATTCATTCGGGTGAAAACGAACTGGGCTTTCTTCTGTCGGTTAGTAGGCGAAATCATGTCTGGACGTCAAAGTGATCGCAACTTCGAGCATCAATTTATCTTTTTATGCCAGACTGACTAGAACCCACAAGGGTATACAATGATTTGTCCTGTCTTTAACTGCCTGTATACGTGTATGCCTGTGCTATCAACGGAACTAGGGTAGCATATGTTTGTGTGTGTGTTTGTTTGTTTGTTTATGCCTCTTTCTGCGACTTGCGCATGTGGATTGTGACGCAAATGAGTATTTGAACTAACAATTTGGCTAAAACTTCTCTCCTCCACGTATGAAAACTAGCCGATAAAACTAGTGTAAATCCGCGTCACCTGTATGTGAGAAAAGAGCAATTATTACTTGGGGTTGTTACGAGCATAGCTTACAACCCTGACGAAATCCGTCAGATGACAGGCGAAGGTATAACCGGTTTTCTGTCAAACCGACCAACTGTGTCGGCTTAAAAGTCGCATTCACGCTAAGACAATCACGGGTCGTTCTCGCCCGGTGCGACGGACCGATGAGGCATCTCCTCTTCACCCTGCTCACATGGCACCAGGCGACCTATCTGAAGCACAACTCGGCTGTTTGCCAGTTGATGGGCTCGAACTCAGCATCCGTTGGTCGGGCAGGCAAGAAAGAAAACAAAAGTTGGAAGAAACTAGGTTTACTAAACTATCAGTAAATACCGAATAACAGTTCTGGAGATATGTAAAATACAGTGCAATCATGAGGCATACTGATAAAATTATGGACAAATTCAATTATAGGAAGCTCTTATTCAAAAAATAGAAACAATTCACAGACTTCCTTGCACAAATCAACAGGCTTCACCACAGGACAATCCTTCTTCAATTTCCGTTTACCTAAAAATGGAAATTCTACTCACATTCACTCATTAAAACACTTTTATAAATCCCTTTTTGGTTAAAAATAAGGAAACATTTTCACTTGGAATGAGCCCGACTTCCCCAAAAGGATCAGGCTCATAGGTATTATGCATGTCATGCAATCCTTCTTCGAAGATATGCAGACCAAGATGGTGTGGCCTTTGGTATAGTCACAGTCTCCTTTCGATGTATGGAAGCGAGTTGACCTCGCTTTCGCAAGGTACGTCAAATTATGTCACCCTGACAGCACGAACAAGTTTCAAAAACGTGGTCAACCCACTTCACTCCTTCGTTTTTCCCTGAAACCAATTCACGAATGCCTTCCACTCAACCTTCCTTTGAATAGGAAAGTCGAGTTACACTCACCCACTAACGAATTCTTCGAACTCCAGCTTCCTTTTGTGTATGTGGGCTTGCGAACCTTCTATAAAGTTGTTCTTTCAGGCGATCTGGATGATCTGGTTGTCCCCCCAGCGATACCACCGGATCAGCATCCCTGACTGACCCAACCCAACGAACTTGGGCCATACTCGTGTCGGAGAGGCATGGCAGATAAAGTCTCATCTGATCGAAGTGACGAAAGCGTCTGCTGAGTGCACACAGTTACGCCAGAGCCGCATACCGAGCCCTGTGGGAGAGAGGGGGAGGTGGCAGACTCTTCTAAAGCTTGTGCTGTGGCCTGGACTGCCAATCCCTTGCTGGGTATCTGAGTCAGCAGTGCATGGGAGGTGGTTATTCGGCCGGGTCCTAGCAACCGAGCCTGAGGCTTTCTCTGGGCAACTGTCACTAGGACATCGTAAACGAAATAGGATGAATACATCTGATATATCTAATCTACTGGCTGTCTCAAAAGTCTATTTGTAAAAACAAAAAATGAGAAATGTTTTCTATTGCTATAGCAAATAAATCTCATATTACTGATTTACTGGTAGTCATGAAAACAATACTTAATTCGACAAATAAAAGTATAGTAGTCGATTGTTATAGCAGATATACGTTTGCCTCATAGACAATTCTACCAAAAGAATATGATATGACAAAGGGCCACGTCTTCCTTGAAATTCACATTTGCCCTGTGACCCAAGGGCACTCGTGGCAGTGTAGCTGAGTGGTTAGCGTGTCAAGCTCCCATCGTGCACTGTCGCGGTTCGACTCCCGCCGAGGGTGTTGATAAGATCGATGCGAGGTCGAAACTGCAGTCCACTGGTGCCTGGATGAGAACAACTTTTGG